TCTCTCTTTCTCTCTCTCTCTCCCTCTCTCTCTCTCTCTTTCTCTCTCTCTCTCTCTCTCTCTCTCTCTCTCTTCTCTCTTTCCTCTCTCTCTCTCTCTCTCTCTCTCTCTGTGTATCTTCGGCGAGATGTCGCTCGCCTGTGAAGCCACTACTTTCGTTAGAGGCTGATGCAGGACCGACATTCGCGCGTTTTTGTCGTTGAGCGTGCAGGTAGTTATCACGGCAGAAGATCTGTCGGCTAAATGAGACCGCGAATCGCTGTCAGATTCACAGTTTGCCAGTTTTACAGCCAGCAACGAGAACCATGAGGTATCGCCAATGATAAGGAAAGCAGGCGATGGGCCTGACTAAGCATTTTGCTGATGAAAACGAGCAAGTTTCTTTGGTGGTGAGAAGGAGCTTTCCGTGGTGGTAGGATGGACTGGGTTTCTTTCGTTGTGAGAAGGACTAGATTTCCATAGTGGTGAGGCGGACTAGAGTTCTTTGGTAGTGAGAATAAATAGGGTATCTATGGTGGCGAGTAGGGCTAGGTTACTATGAGGTTACTTTGCTGAGCACAAGCTTTCTTTCCTGGTGGCAAGTATCGTTGGGGGTGAGCATGAAATAGTTACTTTGACGGTGAGCAGGATTGGGTTTCCCTGTTGGTGATCAGCATTACGTTTCTCGGGTGGTGAGAATGATTCTTCTCTGAGAAGAGAGAACAAGATTTTTTTGCTGGTGGTTGAAGGACTATAGGTTTTTTGGTACTGAGAATAAATAGGTATCTTTGGAACTGTAAATAACTAGAATTGTTTGTGGTGAGTTGCGTTGAATTGTGGTGCGAAAGAGAAGTTTTTATTTGCGTCCAGACTGTGTAATAGGGTTTCATTGACAGTCGATGATGCGATTATCAGTGTGCATGGAGGAAGGGGAGGTTTATCAGTGCGATGTCTGTGCAAATGAAGCTAGGAAGCAGCTGGCTGCGGAGCGTGCTTCCCTCTCTGCTGGTTAGGAAGCTCTGCAGGGAAACCCAATAGACGCTGATTTACGCACACTGCACGCAAGCCGATTTAGTCGTAATGTTTTTTTAAGGAATTGACTTTTCACGCTTGATATTGTCAGCAGTTATAGGCAAACCAGGAGAAATAGCATAATCGGTCACGGTTGCATCGGCCTACGCTATCGTGTGACATGCTGCCTTAGTTGGTGCCACTGCCTTCGCTGATGACGTTGCATTGGCTGATTGACTGTTGTAGTAGCTCGTGACGTTGTCTTGCCTTGCGCCAATGCCTTAGCAGGTGTCATTGCCCTAGCTGACGCAGTTGCCTTGGTCAATGTCGTTACCTTAGTTGATTCCACTGTCCTGACTTATGCTGCTGCCTTAGCTGGTGACGTTTGCCTTTCTCATGACGTTGCCTTGTCTGGTGCCCGTACTCGTGGCTTATTCCGTTGCCGTAGCCTGGCACTCTTCACTCGCTTCATTCACGCACGAGATGTGCATATTTGTCGACCACTTCACACCAACAGCGATCTCATCATCGCTAATCAATACAAAACGCGGCCGTCATCGGGCGCGTAATTGCTTGCGCAAAGACGAGCCTCACTCTTCTCTGTGGACGACGGCAGCTCCCGTCCGCCGCCGCGTCAAGCATAATATTGTGTCGCGTGGCAAGGGTTAGAGCTCTCGAATCACCGTCGCTCGCGCCACGGCGTCGCTCGCGTGTGCCGCGTCCGTCGTCAGAGGGCACCACCGCTTATAGGTTTAAAGGCGCGATGCGCTTGATGCGGTTTCGTTATTGCTGCTCGCTCACGCGATCATATTAGTTTAATCGCGTTATGATGTCGTTCGCTCGTTGACGCGGTGTGTGTATACTTGCCGGCTTATGTGTTAGACGCAGCGCTGTGAAGAGCAGATTTATTTATCGTAATAACTATCGCCTTTCCCCTCTTCTCACGCCATCCTCTTCCTTATCTGCTGATTTCTACCTGCAGCGATGGAGAGAGATGGGGTTAAATTGAGTTTGTTAACTAGTGCATACATCTGTCTCACCCGCCGTTACTCATCTCCTGAGCTGTTGTTGTTGCCTAGTCCCGCCAGACGTCGCCACGGTTCGGCTTGTCTTGCTACCGACATGTCATACACGTTACGTTACTGAAGTTACAAGAAATCTCAGATAAAACGTTTAGTGAAGACAATTACATTGAAAATAAATTAATACGAGGTCAATCGCCAATAGGCTACGCAATTAGATGTATACAGAAAACTGGATTGCGACATTGTATTGATCTGTATTGGCAGTGTGCGATGGAGCGATTGTCTGATAACAAATGTGGGTAATTCACCTTCCCAGTAGGGGTTTATGCTGCACCGCTAAATCACGATAAAGCGTTTCCACGATGCGGTGCGCTCTACGCCCCGTACATACGTTACGTGTGTTAAATAATCTCTAATTTGACATTGGTAAGCCCTTGAAATTATAAGTTGTGTTGCTGTGTCTGTAATTTGTGTCTGTCTATCTATCTATCTATCTATCTATCTATCTATCTATCTATCTATCTATCTATCTATCTATCTATATCTATCTATAATATCTATCTATCTATCTATCTATCTATCTATCTATTTATCTATCTATCTCCCCCTCTCCCTCCTCTCTCTCTCTTTCTCTCCCTATCTATCTATCTATCTATCTATCTATCTATCTATCTATCTATCTATCTATCTATCTATCTATATCTGTCTATATATATCTATCTATCTATCTATCTCTC